ATTCGCTAACAAACTTTTTGAACGAGTTGTTAAAACAGTGTTGCCCAAACATCTGGTTACACTGAAGCCAAGAGAGTAACTGTTTGAGAATCAGATTTAGAATTTGATTTTAAAACACCTTTGCAGAAAAAAAAGTGTCAGAAGTAGGATTTGAGCCCACTCCCACTTTCGTGAACCAGAACACCCATCTCCCTAGATTTACCTTGAGTACACAAAATAAGCAAAATATATGAATCACACCGTTGCTATAATGATAAATATAGATCGAATAAATAAATAAAACTTTAAAAACAATATTCTCCGCTCATTAAAAAATTTTTCTGCACCAAATTGTGTTTAATTTCGCGCTAATTATGTATCTGTTCCACCCGACGACCCTATTTGGCTGCCCAGGTGCAAACACTGATCTTGTAAATATATACACCTGTAACATCTATATGTCTCTTCCAGATCTAAGCTCCAAGGGGATCTGGTTGGAACTGAAAAGCACGATGCTATATTGAATGTAGGTCATTTTATTTATATCAGGGTTACAGACATTTTGTTTTTCATAGTAGGCCTAGTAGACTCGAATCTGCATTGGAGGCGTTTTACAGACGTTGGAGTAACCGAATCATTCTTTTTATATATCTAGGCTTCTAACAAAATATAACATTGTATAAGAACAAATGTATACTAGATCTATATTATAGATACAAATATTGTATTGATGATAAATATATGGCCGAAAGTTTCAGCGATTAGGACCCCGTAACTTCCCCCAGTCCCGAGCAAACCTTATTTCAAAACTAGTTAAATACATTTTTTTTAACAGGAAATTATTTTTAATTTTATATTACAACGAAACAGAGCACACACCTCACTGTCTGATCCTGGGACTTCACATTGCTTCCGCTCGCTTCCACTGACAATCGCAATGGTCTATCCAAATACAAACATCATGTCCGTGTCGTCTTTTATTTGCTGTATGATGAGTAAAAATAATATTTATTTTATGCCTCCTTACACTACAAACTTATATATTAAGCGAATTTTTAAACAAAATTTGGCTTTTTACCAATTTTGTTATTAAATTGATGTTTGTATTGAGCTTTCAATGTTCTTGACCGCAGAGCACTAGCCTATATTTCAGAAACTTCCCCCTTGGGTCTCTGATGCATGAATGGATATTGCATGCTTTCTGTGACAAGTAGCTTATGGCTATAATAAAGATTCTAGTGATTTTCTATATTACGATATTCTAAGTTAATGTCAGAAATGTGTATCAATTGGTTGATTTTTTTTTTACAAAGCTTATATCAAGTCACAATGTCTGTGTGTCTGTCAGGCCAAAAGTCTTTACACGTTATTTCTCCGACACCCAATCTAGGATCAAGCTGAAATTTTGCACAATGATTTCTTTTACCTGACAACACACGAATCAATAGTAATAAAAAAAATCAAACAGTTAGTTATTTAACTATTGCTTTGTTTGGTAGTGAACACAAACATGAAGTAGAAACAATAGATAACGATACAATCTTCCGTGTTAATCGACTATACTAGAATGGTTACCGCGTTGGCTTGAGAAGCCTGAGAAGGCATTAGCTCACAAGTTCCAATTCAGGTCGTTCCCTTTTTATTAAAATTATTTTTTAAAATGCTTTTTTTTTTAATTAGATCTATTACAAATTTAATTACGTGACTAATACAAACTAATTGATACAAGTACGCTTAATAGAAGCTTTTTTTTAAAAAGTATTTTTTAATGTTTTTCTTGTTTTAATTAACAAGGATGGTTAGCTGTAAGCCTCAATTGCCTATTACAACTATTTTAATGTCTAGAACTCTATCTTTAATTGGCAATACATTTCTTGTCTTTGATATGTTTTGATTTTCGACTTAGTTTATGGAATGCAGACTTTCAAAATAGTAACGTGTTAGTCGCTATTCTTAATCATCATTGATTGACACGTGATGGTCAAGTGATTGTCACTTCTGCTTTCAAACCTACGTTGGAAGTACCGCTTGCTTGTCATTGGCAAGGCAAAAAGGTCTCTACTAGATTCTAAATTTTGTTTATAAGTTATAACAAAAAAAGCAAATTAACTCTTTGTCTCCGTAATTATTTTCCACGTTCTGACAGAATTGTTCGTTTTTTCACATTTGTACATTCTAGCCTGTTAGGGTTAAACTTCAATAACATCTCTGTATGTAATCAGAAAACGTTACATTTGGTATAGAATTTGTAGGAGAATGCATGCTCATTTTATATAACACAAAATAAAAGTTTATAATATCAGAAATTGTATTTAATGGGGTCAAATCAATGATGGTATCGTTTATTAGGAAAGAAAGAGTTTAAAAAAAAAAGATTTGAATAGCCCTTGGGCGCTTTAAAAATTGACGTGTTGAGACAGTGTTGTAGGTCTACTGGGCTTGGTTTAAGAGATGATAAAAGTGTGATTGAAGAGAAGTTTGAAAGACGATTTTTAATTATATTCAAATTTGAATTAAGGTTGGGTGAAGGACGAAGGGAAAGGAGAAAAAAAAAATAATGGGGGTGGGGAGAGAGATTGGTTTTGCAAAAAGTTAAACGAAACTTCGATCACAAGAGGGAATGAAATGTTTTGATTCGTAAATTTATGCGGAACAAAGAAAACTTTTTGTAACTTTAGTAAAAGTGCGATCAGCTCTATTGATTTGTTGTAGACTTGACAGTAAAGAACCATTAGACATTAAAGGTGTGTCAGAAACTGTCTCGATCGATGACCTACAACAAAAAAAGACTTTAAAAATGAAATGTACCATGGCGGTATTTCATGGCCTGAGATGAGTTTGCCCATTGAGAGTAGGCTACGATCTGTCGTAGAGAGTAGGCATAATTTAGCGATTTCAGAAAAATGTTATTTTCTTTTTTTTTTCTCTTACAGAGAACGTGGCCCATTGATGCTACGATTAAATAGAGAGGCTGTTATTAGTTCTATTCTAATGGCAGTTAAAAGCTTATCGCGCGACATTTTTTGTTGCTTACAATTTTGGCGTCTTGTCATCGAGGAATGCTGTTTAATCTGTGCACTCTGAAAAAAAAACATTTAAAAATCTTTGTTTCTAGTCATCTGTTGGAGTCTTTTCTGATTGTTTTTTTTTTAATGGGATCTTGATATGGATCTGTCGTCTAGCAGAAGGTTTGGTCTAGGACGCAATCATCTTCCTTTCTAAAGGAGGTTCTAAACACACAGTAAAGAACATCCACAAAATATTTAAACACTATAATTTATTGTTTCGAAAAGTCCCCGATGTTATTTTAGAACGATCTTTCGCCATTGAAACAAGCCTACCTTTCAACTTAGATGATGCTATATTACATTTACTTAGCCAATTTTTAACAATGTTGTGGATGGTCGTTGACTTGTAGCATCGTCCTGCTGGTAGACAACTAAACCGCTGTAGACATATTAGATTTTAACTTGTAAAGCTTGAAATAACTTGAATGACTTCTTTGTGAACAAAACTAAATAGAACTTTTATTACTATATAGACAAATGCAACTTGAAATCAAATGAAATCAATGTAGTGGACTTCAGAATTATTATAAAATGGTATTCTTAACAAAATGCAACTCACTACAAAAACACGTCTTTTCAGTCTGGTGTTCTGGGGTCGACTCCCCTACCTAAGACAGCTGACGACAATGTTGTTTATCTTGCATCATTCACAACCAATCGTTAACCCCTTCCCTCAGTCACCATAGAAACACACGCACTCCAAAACGAACAAGTAGTATCATTTGTAAAAAAAAAAAAATCAACTCCTACTTAAAGACAAATACAGACTAGTAAACTAATTTGAAGGTCCTTTTATGGGCGAGGTATATACAGTCTTGCACTGTCGTGAATCCGGCCCTGGAGGAAAGGGAGGGACCACTACGTGTAGGTTGTAATAACAAGTTTAATGCGAAATATTTTTATTTTTATAACTCTTCATTTTACCATTGCCATGTCCACGAAAGCCAGATTTATGCTACAGTTTACAATCAGTGTTTATCAAAGCGAGGCTCAGAGACAAACTGGAAAGACAGTGCTAGACTTAGTAAGTGAAGGCCCTGGACAGGATTGTTGTGGAAGCCTTTAATCTCCTCAATATAAATGCAGTTAATAATATTGATAACTTTAAATCATATTTGTGAAGAATGAAAGTCAGTGCTTGTACATTTCACCTCATTTCCCTTTTTTTCCTCATATACAACAACACATATATTGTATTAAGAATGCGTTGTTGTTGTTTTTTAAAATGTGGATGCTCATTTTATGGGCGAGATTCGGGGCGGCTACACAATCTTACACTGTCTTAGATCCGGCCCTGGAGGAAGGTAATACATACACATACACTTTGGTAGCAGATTGAATCTAACTCAGTCATATCCGCATGGAATTTATTTTTTCATAGTAATGCTTAGGCGATGTGTTTGTGCGTGAGTGTGTGTATGTGAGTATAGTGTTCAGAGCAGGATGTCACTGCCTTCTATAGGAGACTATACAGACTTTAATGAGTGTTATCTTTTAATTATCTATTTTAAGCCTTTCTCTAATTTGACGTTGGTTAGTTTTCAAATCTAGAGTTCGTATTTACTACCATTTAAAGCCTGTCTATTTTCTCCATTTCTATAACATATTTTCTTACAATTGATACCAAACTGAGGCGTCGCTGTCAATAGGCATTGTTATCCATCCATCTATCAGTCCGTATGTGTGAGTGTGTGTCTTTAAAGACCAAAAGTCAAGGATTATAAAGCCCACAATGCAATCGTTTTTTTCTTCCTATGTCAAGACGATTGAAACTCTTGCATGTTGGTGTAAGCTCTTCGGTATTTAAACTCATGAGCCAATGAGGGGCTTGAATTGAATTTTTCAGACATAGAAATTAAATTTCTCGTGCTCTCCAAGAGATCCGATAACATTCATACAGCATTAAAAGTTAATGATAATCATTAATTAATTTTTTTTTTTTTTTAAATAATTTGTCAGAAGTGGGATTTTTAAGCCACGCCCACACTCGTGGACCAGAACACTCCTATCCCATGATCCATGGGAAGGTTGATTCACCTTGAGTCTAGCGCCTTAGACCACTCGGCCATCCTGACATGCTGAAACAGTAGTAAACCAAAAAAAAAATAATATAAATCACTTTCAGGTCAATAAGCGGAGAGCGTGGACACTTACTTCAAAACACGATATAAATCACAGGTCGACAAGCAGAGCGTGGACACTTCAAGTGTTCCGTTATTTTCGTGCACCAATGGGAGGTAAACCTCGAGTTTGTTAGCAAAGTGACTGAACCATAGACCTGTACCACTACCATGTTGGCCCTATCAAGATCTGTGGTCTGAACCTCTTTTACATATCGAAACAAAATGCGCCTTTTTGTATGAAAGCACGCATTAGTATGTCGTTTTGAAATCAAAAGAAACAAACAAAATTGAGAGAATCTAATATATAAAGTAGAATGTGAGGCGTATGTATGTTTGTCCCCGTATAGAAATCAAAACCGTTAAACCGATCTTGATAAAACTTGGCAGAAATGTTCATTGGGTACTAACTTAGACGGTAGTGTATGTATTGTAGCCCATCTACTATTACTGACTCTCTCTCCCTCTCCCCCTCTCTCTCTCTCCCTCTCTCTCTCCCTCTGTCCCGCCACTCCCCTTCTCGTCCTTTTTTTTTTCATTCATTTCAAATTTTGTCCTCGAGGTCAGAAACAATTGTCACATGCAAGAACGCATCGCTGTTGCTAGGCAACTTACCTTGAACTTGACCTAATCTTCCAGTTAAAAATGTGCTGGCCAGTGGGCAAACAAAAAATCAATTGTGTCACCGTTCAATAAAAAAAAAATCAAGGAGACAACTGGACGTCATTTATTGACCAGTGAGAATTCGTTTATTGACACATCATGACAATGGAATGTAAGGCTCTATCTGTATGAATATGTACGTATTATCAAGTTGTACAGTATGGTAAAGTATGACACAAGTTGTACACTCAGGGACGGATTTAGGCCACTGCCACCTATGCGGTCGCAGTGGGCCCCGCACTTTCATAGTCCCCGTGCTAATTCTATGAATAAATTATTGATATTAGGGTTTCAGCGGCTTCCTGATTTTCCAGGGGCTTCTGGAAAATTCCTGTAATTGAACAACATATAAAAATAAAGTCCTGGAAATCTGAAATAAAAAAAAGGCAAAATTGTCATTTCGGAGTACAAATCCTAAGCCAGATTTTTTAAAAAAACGTCATTGTCAGTTTTATTGCAAAGTTGAATGTCTTTTCTACTACAAAATCTTAATTTTGACATTAAATTATGCTTATCCCTACCCAGACTGGGCCCGTGCAATCCGTTTCACACAGGGTCCTGTGTACAGTATGATCAAGTAGTACAGTAGGATCAAGTTGTACAGTAGGATCAAGTAGTACAGTATGATCACGTTCTACAGAATGACTAAGTTGTACAGTAGGATCCAATAACACAGTAGGATCAAGTAGTACAGTAGGATCAAGTTGTACAGTAGGATCAAGTAGTACAGTAGGATCAAGAAGTAAAGTAGGATCTCGTTGTACAGTATGATTAAGTTGTACAGTAGGATCAAATTGTACAGTAGGATCAAGTAGTACAGTATGATCAAGTTGTACAGTAGGATCAAGTTGTATAGTATGATCGTGTTGTACAGTATGATCAAGTTGTACAGTAGGATCAAGTTGTACAGTATGATCAAGTTGTATAGTATGATCGTGTTGTACAGTATGATCAAGTTGTACAGTAGGATCAAGTTGTACAGTATGATCAAGTTGTATAGTATGATCGTGTTGTACAGTATAATCAAGTTGTACAGTATGATCACGTTGTACAGTATGATTAAGTTGTACAGTACGATCAAGTTGTACAGTAGGATCAAGTTGTACAGTATGATTAAGTTGTACAGTATGATCACGCTATACAGTATGATTAAGTTGTACAGGATGATTAAGTTGTACAGTAGGATCAAATAGTACAGTAGGATCAAGCAGTACGGTAGGATCAAGCAGTACAGTAGGATCAAGTTGTACAGTAGGATCAAGCAGTACAGTAGGATCAAGTAGTACAGTAGGATCAAGCAGTACAGCATGATCAAGCAGTACAGTAGGATCAAGCAGTACAGTAGGATCAAGCAGTACAGTAGGATCAAGTTGTACAGCATGATCAAGCAGTACAGTAGGATCAAGCAGTACAGCATGATCAAGCAGTACAGTAGGATCAAGCAGTACAGCATGATCAAGCAGTACAGTAGGATCAAGTAGTACAGTAGGATCAAGCAGTACAGTAGGATCAAGCAGTACAGTAGGATCAAGCAGTACAGTAGGATCAAGTTGTACAGTAGGATCAAGCAGTACAGCATGATCAAGCAGTACAGTAGGATCAAGCAGCACAGCATGATCAAGCAGTACAGTAGGATCAAGCAGTACAGCATGATCAAGCAGTACAGTAGGATCAAGCAGCACAGCATGATCAAGCAGTACAGTAGGATCAAGCAGTACAGCATGATCAAGCAGTACAGTAGGATCAAGTAGTACAGTAGGATCATGTAGTACAGTAGGATCAAGTAGTACAGTAGGATCAAGTAGTACAGTAGGATCAAGTAGTACAGTAGGATCAAGTTGTACAGTAGGATCATGTAGTACAGTAGGATCATGTAGTACAGTAGGATCAAGTAGTACAGTAGGATCATGTAGTACAGTAGGATCAAGTAGTACAGTAGGATCAAGTAGTACAGTAGGATCAAGTTGATTTGTAGCTTTAGTTCTTATCCGAAATGAAGAATATTACGCTATATCCCAAACCTTATGCAGGACTGGGGGGGGGGGGGCGGAGGGCAGTGCTTGAACCCAGAACCGTTACGACCAGATATTTTAGAAATGCTGTCCCCCCCCCCCTTTTTTTTTGTTTTGTTTTTGTTTTAATGAGTGTATGTAATTTATAAGTGGCCTAAAGCGACACCTTCGATACGGAAGTCACGCCTTAGGTCTCTCAGACCACAGAGGCCATCACTCCCCATCCCTCCCCTAAACTGAAAATTTCACAAACTGGATTGTTGCGTCACTAGTCAAAAGTAGATCTCAAAACTCAAATTAGATCATAAAACTACACAACTACACAAGCACAAATAACTTCGTGAACGAGTCGCACCTAGTGACTGTACCTGCGATCAACATTCTAGTGACCTTTGAACACTTGCTGGTTAACCCAGTTGTGTTCCCAACCTACATATATTACCTGTACAGTAAACAAAAACATTCCAGGCTATATATCTAACTCTACGTGAGTCTACAACATAGCGACCTTCAAAAATAAATGTACACTAGATGCGAATTTAAATGTTATATTGATGTTATGAAACAATTTCATTTATAGCTCCAGCATGTCAGGATGGCCGAGTGGTCTAAGGCGCCAGACTCAAGGAAAAATAACCTTCCCATGGATCATGGGCGAAGAGCGTTCTGGTCCACGAATGTGGGCGTGGGTTCAAATCCCACTTCTGACAATTTTTTTTTTACTTTTTTCAGTAAGAGTTCTTTGTTGGAGAGCACGAGAAATTTAATTAAAATAATAGTTAAATAATTTTTTTAAAAACTTTTTCCTCTTCGTTTATTGTTTCTCGTTGCAAGATTTTATTGTAGATACGTTTCTCTTTTTTACTAAATAGACCCACGGTTAACGAGTTATTCTTTCCTAATTTGCTCAAGAAACAAATGGCTCCCTTTTAGCACGAAGTATTTCTCTACACTACTTCTACCTCTCTCTGTTTCTCACGAAGTATTTCTCTACACTACTTCTACCTCTCTCTCTCTGTTTCTCACGAAGTATTTCTCTACACTACTTCTACCTCTCTCTGTTTCTCACGAAGTATTTCTCTACACTACTTCTACCTCTCTCTGTTTCTCACGAAGTATTTCTCTACACTACTTTTACCTCTCTCTGTTTTTCACGAAGTATTTCTCTACACTACTTTTACCTCTCTCTGTTTCTCACGAAGTATTTCTCTACACTACTTCTACCTCTCTCTGTTTCTCACGAAGTATTTCTCTACACTACTTCTACCTCTCTCTGTTTCTCACGAAGTATTTCTCTACACTACTTCTACCTCTCTCTCTGTTTCTCACGAAGTATTTCTCTACACTACTTCTACCTTTCTCTGTTTCTCACGAAGTATTTCTCTACACTACTTCTACCTCTCTCTATTTCTCACGAAGTATTTCTCTACACTACTTCTACCTCTCTCTGTTTCTCACGAAGTGTTTCTCTACACTACTTCTACCTCTCTCTGTTTCTCACGAAGTATTTCTCTACACTACTTTTACCTCTGTTTCTCACGAAGTATTTCTCTACACTACTTCTACCTCTCTCTCTGTTTCTTATTGAAATACACTCCGATACCTTATAAACGTGACTCTCGAACCCGTTGAATATTTTAATTCGGGCATGGTGTGAGAGTTAGGGCAGAGCCGGCCTTTGGAATAGGCAAACTAGGCCTCCGATTTGTGGGGGCCTCACACAGGACTCTGTAAGAAACTTTTGTAAAGACTGGCTAAATCGGCCCTGCGGATCAAATCTCAAGCTCTAGCTTAACAGAACTCTACGGCTCTGAGTCTTTTAAACTACGTATGCTAGAAGACCATTGTTTCTTCCCATTGATAAAATATTGAAACCCTATTTTTATACCTGTGATCTTGAATCGTCCGAGAAGCACACTAGTGCTATCGTCACTATGCAAATTTAACTTATTTTTTTATTTAGATATAAATACAGGACGGTTTACAATTCATTGAGTTTTTTTTTTTCTTTGTTTTGTTTTTCTATTTCAAATGGGAGCCACTTTATTCTCTTCCCCCAGGGCCTCCCTATTCGCTTCGCCTAAGACCTTTAACCCTTAAAGTGCTGATCTTTTTTACAATGAGAGCATACAATGCTAGTGTTTAGCGGCTAAACTACCACACGCGTCTAAAGGGTTAATTACATAAGGCCGGAGCTGGTATAGTGAAATAGGGAGAAATGTGCGGTAGGAGAAACAATATTTACATCTTAGATTATGTTTTAGATAAGAGTCATTGAAG